TGGAATGTTATTAATTTTCTATTTTTGGAATGACTATGACCTGGATGACTGTGAATCTTCACCAACTCTGCGTTTAACCCATCCCCTTTGGCAGCAGGGGGCTGCCACTGTGTGGAGCAGCGTGGGGTTAAGGGTCTCGCTCAGGGAGCAAGGGACTAAAATTTATTCTTTAAGGTTGTTCAAAGAACTTTTTAAAAAGGTACCTTATGTACATAAAAGAAAAATAAAAGCTTTATAACAAGAAAGCAGAGGTGTGTGATTTTTTTGCTTCTTTGGTCACATAGTTGCATGTCTAGAAGCCAACAAAGCTAGAGCTGCTGGTATCTGATGTCAACGAGCTGACAGGCCTCCGTCCCGTTGACCTGATTAGACTTCTTTACTTACCTCCTGACGGCAGACGTCACCGCCCGTGCACACGTAGAGTTTTCTTTTTTTTTTTTTTTAAGCACACTTAGTGTGCAAAGCCAAGAGTGGACTTATGTATTTACTTCATTCCTCTTTATCTCATTCTGGCAGCTTTTCTAACCCCTTTCTCTCTAAAGCTCTTATCCCTGTCTGGGCTATATTAAGGCATCGGTCCATCCCTCTGGCAGTGATATAAATCCAATGACAGATCCAACGGCAAAAAGGATGTTTGAAAAGTGGAAAAAAGAAAGAAAGGAAATTTATTTTCATCTCGCTAGGGCAGAAATCTGTTTGAAGACTGAAGTCTTAGAAGCAGCTTCTGCTCTAAAGCAAATTCATTCTTTTTTGTCCCGTCTGGCTCTGTCCTACATTCTTATTATTATGATTATATTTATGTCTTAAAATGTTGATGAGCAGCGGCTTGCTGTAACCTCGAGTTAACCTCTTGTCCTTCTGTGTAGGTAAATCCCACCTGGCCATCGTCCAGAAGGTGAACAACGAGGGGGAGGGGGACCCTTTCTACGAGGTACTGGGACTGGTCACCTTAGAGGACGTCATCGAGGAGATCATCAAGTCAGAGATCCTGGACGAGTCGGACCTCTACAGTGAGTCAGAGTTAGCTGGGATGGTGTGAAAGTGGCCATATCCGTTAATCCTTCTCACATTGGCTCATTGGTAGAAGGTGTAATGTCTTTATTAGGTTGAAGAGCTCAAGGTTTTAGTTTATGCTTTTATTTTGTCCTTCAGCACTTTCCTTATTGTTTTATCATCATCTCTTTTTCTTGTCATTTTTTGATATCTTTTCTATGTTAGGGAATGTTATAGGAATGAATATTCTTGTGCTTAGTGTCTGTAGATAATTCTATCTGATGTTCTTTTGTATTTCTTAGTGTTGCCAGTGTTCACGCTGTTGTTTTCTTATTTAATCTGTATTTTTTGATGGGTTCTGTTGTTTCTTTTCCCCGGTTAATTGTGCTCTGTTAAGGGCTGGTTATCCTCCTGCAGCAGTTTGTCGCAGTGAGCTTTTTAAATTTGCAGATACTTTTGATTTATGCCCAATATTGAAGTGTGCTCTGCGCTATGATTTTCCACGCCACAATGCAAGAGGGACGATCAGGAAGTAGCTTTGGGTCTAGATACGGCCGAGGCGGTGAGGAAATGGGGACAAGTTTGTGCGACAACGGAGGGACATGAGGGCCAAAAAGAGCAGGGATACATATAGGTGGAAAAAGGGTCACAGCGTTCTCACGCACCTCGCTATTCTATATAAAAAGTCACTAAGGTACCAAACAGGAAGTACGTATAGTGAAGAGCGGATGTAGATTTGACCAATTAGAGGCCTCCTGTCTGCAGCACGGTCTGCGGCCACCTGCAATTTTGTAGAGGTGCACCAGAGTGTCTGCAGAAGGGGCGGGGCATATCTGCGTTCACTGCCACACACAAGCAGACGACCTGGTTTCTGAGCATAAACCAGCCTTTAGCCAGAGCCAGCTGTTTTTCAGTAGATCCTATTCACCTGTCTTGTCCTTCAGCCTTTAGCCTGCACCTGTTCTCTGCTCTATTTAAGCCCTCTGTTTTCATCGGTCCCTGGTTTCCTGGTCGCTTCCTGTCTTTCTATGTCCAGTCTCTGTTTTATAGGTTCATTGTTATCAACAAAGTTTTTAAACCCTTTAGACTTTTTAGAGTCAGACATAGACAAACTTTATTGTTATTTTGTATACACAGATTTTTTTATATACAGAATGAATACAAAAGGAAAATTTCAACAAAAAGGAATGTCAACTTACGCCTGCGTACATAAGGAACAGTGTATACCTAGTTGTAAAGTGGAAGGAAAATATGTTTATATTTTTCTCTTCTAGGTCCAAGCCCTTTGGTGTACTTCTCTACCAGCTTTACACACTTTGTTCTTTTCAGAACAGCTGAAGCTCTGTTAGACTGGATATAGGGGAACTGTGGCTGTATGATCTGGTTATATGTGTATTGCTGTTGTACTCTACATGGAGTGAATTTACTTCCAGTATTGCTCCTAGCAATTAATTGAAAGAAAAATTTCAGAAATGAAACTTTGAAAACCGATTTAAAAAAAAGTTTTAAGAGTTACTTAGCTCTTTTTGTCAGATTGCATTCAATTTTGTTTCCAAAAAAGATTTTTTACTTTTTTGTATTCAAAATTTTCAAATGTAAGGTTCTGTAAAAATGTCCTTTTGTCATCTAACTCAAGATCTCTCTGCCACGCATTTTAAAAGACAAAACCTAAGGAATATAATTCTATTTTCATATAATCAGTTTTCTTTCTGTTCTTGATGTTCTTCAGTCTCCAGCCACTCACTCCTTCTACTGCCATTTCTTTACAGCCGACAACAGAAACAGGAAGAAGGTGGACCCCCACAAAAACAAGCCAGACTTCTCAGCCTTCAAGCAGGACGGCGACAGTAAAGTGAAGATAACGCCTCAGCTGATGTTGGCGGCACATCGTTTCTTAGCCACAGGTGAAGTCCGAGGGCATAAGGGTTAAATCTAAGAGTCATGGCAAATGTAATGAGGTCATTCTAATAGAAAAATAAGAAAAGTCATTTGCACCCGCTTTTTCTTTTTTTTTCCAACTAATTTCTTGTAGATTTAGAGTTGTTACTTTAAATTAATTCTCTTATGATCAACTCAACAAATAGCTATAGGTTGGGTTTATGGATATAACGAAATTGTGGACAATTGATTCATTTTTGAATAACGGTTTAATATATTCAAATTTGTTTCATCCAATGAATCGTTAACATTCGCTTATATGAAATTTCTTTTGGTGTCGTATTTAGGGCTGCAACTAACGATTATTTTGCAAACTGATTAATATTTCGATTATTTTTTCGATTAATCTATTAATACTTGGATAGCAAAAATTTTGTTAAAGAAGTCTTCTCATCGTTGATTAGAAGACTCATCAACGACCTACGACACAACTCTCCTCTCTCCTCCATAGCGTTCCTTGACAGTGTCGTTTCTAAGTCACCAATTTAGTGCTACTTGGTCCCAATTGAATTTCCCATTGGGAACCTACTAGCACTAAGTTGCTAACTGGTTAGCAAGATGCTACCGACAAACTGACCAGAACCGAAAAGCTTGCAAATCATCCACCACAACAACCCCGCTCTCTTGATAAACGACCAATCACATTCACTTTATTCACTCGTGTAAAATCGGGCACCACTTGTGAGAATTCGGAAATCTTATGCTTTGAATAGCCACTTCCCTACGACTTTAAACATATTCTTCAATTAAACAGAAAATAATAAAGTAGAAAACAGGAAAATTCGGTATGACTGGTTTTGTACCTAGTTGCAAGGTGTATTTCAGACTATAACAAAAAAGTTGAGCCTGTCTGATGACATAGATCCTACTTCAGCAGGAGTGAATCTCCTGTGTTAACAAATGCTAAGCTAGGCAAGAATTTTACGATATGATACATATAAGAGGATATATCTCGATACATTAACAAAAATTATATAATGCCATTTCTGTAACATCGTCGATCTGGAAATTCTCACAAAATTTTGCGTTTGCTCTGCTGTGGCTGATGCAGAGCAGCTGAATGATTGGCTCTCAGGTGCTACGCTGCCTCCTAGTGGCTGGAGTTTTTAAAGTTCTATAAAAGACAATAAAATGAAATTTTCCCAATAAATATTATACATATTTAAAATCCATTTAGCTGTATTTCTAATCAATACTAATATTGTCTAATAACATTCTGGGATATAGGACTATTTTTTTCTCCTATTTCTATTAGAAATAATAGAATGTGCTCTGATATTTTCTCTGCTTTTTGTTATCCTGCCAGAGGTGAACTTGTTCAGCCCGTTCCAGATCACAGAGAAGGTCCTGCTGAGGATCCTCAGACACCCACAGGTCATTCAGGAGCTCAAGTTTAACGAAAATGACAAGCGATCGCCGCAGCACTTTCTCTACCAGAAGGGGAAACCTGTTGATTACTTTGTACTCATCCTGCAGGTGAATACACACCCACTAAAGAACAAGACACACAAGAGGTGCAAATGTTTAAAGGCAGCTACAGATTGAATCCCTAAGTTATAAATAATGTGGATGTAACCCAGCGATTCCCACCCAGGTGCTGAATGCCATCTTCTTGGATAAGCTGGAGGTTATCATGTAACTCTACTATCCAAAGGTGTGATTCACTCTGACAAGATTGTTCGGTCGGTCAGGAACATCTCATTCATTTGAATGAAAAATGTGTATCAATGAAGGGAGACCTTTGAGCTAACTGCTAAAGTTAGCCTGCTAACGGCTAAAGTTCCTATGGAATACCTCAGAGCTAACTGCTAAAGTTGCCTGGAATACCTCAGAGCTAACTCCTAAAGTTGCCTGGACTACTTCAGAGCTAACTGCTAAAGTTAGCGTGGAATATCAGTTAATGTGACTATGCACCTTTATCTGCTGTATTTAGCTGGTAATACATGGAATCTACTGTGTAATTCATTGGCAATTAATGGGTAATTCAGTTGAGTATAATTACCTACTAACCATATTTATTACACAGGGTAGCTCACTATGTAAGGTAACTACATGATAAACTGTAAAAGTAAGGGTGATTGAATATTGTCCAAAAGTGTTGCGGTACATCGGTTTGTATGTGTTCATATGTTTGTGTATTCAAAGCATGAGCCAAAGCTCCAACGCTTGGTCGCTGACACCTAGGGTGACTGAAGACACCTGTCTGTGCAACCTGAGCACACCTGTCTCTGTTTCACCAATCTGGTGAATTCATGTGTGTGAGTGCAGATTTATTTCCATCTCTGCGAGAATCGCCTGAAGCTTTCAAGTCATGGTGAGACAGAAGGTTTTTGCCTTATCTGCTGAGAGATTAACATGGAAATCTGGCAGTTAGGTAAAGGATCCTGTGTAGTTTGAACTCAAAAACGATGGTGCTATAAGAACGTGGCGTATGTGTTTGAGGTAAATAGACACTGCGTCCTGCAGTGGTGCACCTGCGCTGGGATGTAATATTTATAGGGTGGCACAGTGTCTGTGTTTCATGCTACAGGACACGACGACGGGATTTAACGTGGAACAGCCTCTGAACCACTTCTGGTACTCGTCCACAGGCTCGGACTAGTAATCTGTGATACCAGGCATTTACCTGGTGAGCCGGTCCTAATTTCAGCATTAAATCATTCCGGCGCCAACACTTACCCTCAGGCTGAAGCATCTACCTGTGACAGTAAATAACTCCTGGAGCTCAAGGAGTAATACAATGTTAACTA